CTGAAAATTCAGGTTTGTAAAATCCTCAATATAGCATTCTTCTTCTTCTACAGTGGATTACCAGAAAAAACTGATTTTCCTGGGAATGGACGTTTTTCTTAATCCTTCTTCCTTTTCCTATGGCCTCGTCTTACGATACATAGACAAGCCATCTATAGTTTAATTTACTTCTTCCTCTTCTTCCTCTGCGATGGCGTACTTACTGTCTACTAGCAGGCCGATTTTATCTCACAGCCCAAAGTGATCGTAGTCTCCACTACCCATGCAGTGTACTTCCAACGTACACGATTTCCCCAAAGGCGTCGGCAGATCTGAGGGCAGCTGCGAGACAAATGAAATATGTATATATAAGACTTCGGAAATGACTGTGACCTATATTGGACTGCAACGGCCGTTAACGCAACTTATTTTTTATTCCTACGTGCGTTTGTGCGTCGTAACCGAAGCTGACGTTGTTTGTGCCCGTAACGCTTTACGCGCACGACACTCCATTCCCGAACGATTTTGGAGGACTTATATTTTGTTTGTCGTTAGAATTAAAGTCAATGGAGGAGCCAGAATATGACACTGTGTCAGAATCTTGCATTCAAGGAGGTTTGTTATTAGGCGCAATGAGATCTGCCTCCTTCTTAATTTATCTTGACTTTTCTTCTTCTAATTACTTTTCCCACATCGCCTAAAGGTAATCGTCCACTCTTACCTAAACGTTTTAAACATAAGAACGAACGGTTAAACGACAAAATTAAAAACCGGGTTGATGAAATGAAACTAGGCATTATGACTTTCACTAAAACCTGGCTTTCGACAGATAGCGTCGATTCTGTAATATCATTTAGATGATATCAGCTTTTCGGGAGAAACGGGTCAATTCAGGGAGGGGAGTTATAGCTTATGTGCCCTGCAAGCTGACCGCCATGGCTGAGGTACATATTCCCGCAGGAGACGCTAAAATTTTAAGCATCACTATGTATTTTAAGTATGACAGACCAAAACAAGCAAACATGCCAGTCCCATGAAGTAATTGAGAAGAAGAAGATTCGACTGCTCGGACAACACTTTTATTCGTCTGACATGAGTGGAAAATAGTAGCAGAAAGTTTTCTGAGGGCATTTAATTAGATATTGAAAAAGATTGGGTAGGAATTAAGCTTAGGGCCACCCAATGGCAAAAGCCTCCCAACCTAAATGTCTGACGGATTTCGTAGTTAAAGGTCTACTGCTTGATTAATGGGCAATTAATAGGTATTAAATGCGTGATATGTGCGCAGTAGAAAATAAAGTAGAACCACATTTAATTTTTTTACTGAACTAAAAGTATAGGTGAAAAGTTCGCGAATAGAACAAAAAATAGCTAGAGAAAGTCCTATTGTTTACCAATGGAAGTTATAGACCAAGTATACAATAAGAACAACTATTGGTGAACCAAGCAAGCGTGGAGACTAGGAACACTACTAGAGCAACTCCCATCACTATCAAGTGATCCTGCAGTTTATTTCTACTAAGGATTGTTTACATCAGATAAAGGACAACTAGAAATTCCCTAAGGATTATAAACTCATACCTGCAGTCAGTTTTCAAAAAAAGAAATCGCTTTTGGTGGCGTCACAGACTAACCAGCTCCGATAAATACTTACAGAATATAAGCAGCAAAGTAGCATGTGTAAAATTGAGGCTACTAAGCTGCAAAGCAAGTACGATCTGCGCACACTACAG